CTCACTCTTGGTTCCTATCGATCCTTTTTATTCGTAGAGTTAGTATTTGGTACGACGGAAATTATTTTCTGGTGTTTCGTTACCCGACTCGTGGGAAAAAAACATTTCGGATTGAAAATTATTTTGTTGAAATATATTCCAACTTTTGCTCCATGCGCATTGTTTCAATCAGGGTGCATTGTTATCAGCTTGTAATACTCAGAATTATTATCCAAACAGTGACATTAGACCGTAGGATTTAACTTATATACACTGCAGTGTGAAGAATATTTACATTATTCGTGTGATTGAAATTGAAAATGTAAACGGGAGCAGCCTTGCCGTAACTGGTAAAGTTGTTGCCATGTGACCAGGAGGTCATATGTTCGAGCCGTGTAAATAGCCTCTTGCAGAAATGTAGGGTAAGATTGCGTACAATAAACCCTTGTGGTCCAGCCCTTCCCCGGATCTCGCACATAGCGGGAGCTTAGTCCACCGGGCTGCCCGTTGTGTGATTGAACACGTTATAACTAAAGAGTGCCACATAAAATGGAACAAACAGAGTAATTACTAGTAGTCCTTTTCTCTTTTATCTGGAACTGAAGTTTGACCCTTTTAAATTTTGAGAAATACTCATTTTGAGCAATCAATTCTGTTCTGATATGCTGCTATGGGGTAATGATTTTTATGATTGAAGTTGTGTTCTTTAGGAAGTTGATCCAACTATAGAGAATGAAGAAGGCGGTTCAGAAGGAGTGGACGGTTTTTTCTCGGATTTGGCCAATGCAGTTCCAGGAATTGATGAAGCCATGAGTTTTGCTGAGATGCTAAAGTAAGTAACATTTCTTCAGGGCACACAAATCAGATTATAGCATTTTCTCCACCAAAAAGATGTTAAAGAAATAAGTTTAAGTGTTCTTAGAACTATCATTTTCTTTCGAAGTATTAAAGATACTATGCTTAAACTAAGCCTTATTTGATTCCTAAACAATAATAATTAGCAATGAACTAAACGATAATATACAATGTGGTATTAGTCGACTGGGGTGAAAAAGGGATGTTTGGAGATAATGCAAAGTAAATCAAGCAACTTAAAGAGGGGCCTTGCAACTAATTTGTTTCGTTTTCTAAAGACTCAGGTTTGACTTATTTCAACTGAGGTTAAGAGTTTAGGCATTTTGCTTGAGTTTAAACTTTCAGCATTATATCTTAATCTAGATTAAGGAAAGAACTGAGATATTACCTTCAAAATTGTGAGGTTCAAAGCTGTGTCAGCAAGTTAATGCTACACCTTACATTACTACATGAGCTGCCCTGAACACCTGTAATGTAAAGGAAAAATCCTTTCTTTAGTGATGCATTCCATAAGAAACGCTGAAATGCCAACTTGGAGAATGATTTGAATTTTGTCTTGGTTGATCTTATATGCAGACTGGAAACTGGTTGATTTGCGCCCAAGTCTTAACTCGTGTAGTGTTTATTTCTTTCACAGATTTATAGCATCTCTTAGCTGCGTCGCCCTTTTTTTTTCTTATTTTGCATGATTTCAGTTACTTTGCAGAAAGATCTGGAAAATCAATTTTAATTGTAAGGAAGTCCACTATATAGTTTTGGATTATAGTTTTTTTTTGAAGTATCTTAGTCAAAAGTAACCAATTTTCCTCTGTCGGGCAGCTCATTTGAGCTATTTCATTCAGTAGCATCATATCTAGAAGCTTTAGAAGTAGAGATCACGGAGATTACCTGTATTATTTTCACTATATGGGATCGCATTGCCAGACACTTGCCATTTTTTTCCTGGACATCAGAATCATATGCAGCTAATCATCTTTCTAACATTCTTCATTGCTAAGTTTCATCTTGTTATGGTACATTGATAGTGCTTTTAAGCTTTTTATGATTGATATACTGTTTTCTGGTTATACTTACAGTTCTGGTGTTTTCTTTATAATCTGACTTGAACTTTATTCCGTTTGCTCTTTATAGATTGGTGCAAACAATGGATTACTCTGTAATAGTGTTTGATACAGCACCAACGGGACACACTCTCCGGCTATTACAGTTCCCGTCGACACTAGAGAAAGGGCTCGCCAAAATAATGAGTTTGAAGAGCAAATTTGGTGGTATGCTGAGTCAGGTAACAACCCTTCCTCCCCTCCCCTCCCCTCCCTTCCCCCCTTGTAGGAATTGGATGATATGTTTCTGTATATCTCTTATTAATACACTTAGTACTGTCTATTGCAGATGACTCGTCTCTTTGGTGTTGACGATGAATTTGGTGAGGATGCAATTCTAGGCAAGCTTGAAGCCATGAGAGATATTATTGAACAAGTGAACAGACAATTCAAGGATCCAGTAAGAGTTTTCCTTATAATGGTCATTTGTTATTATGAAGAACTTGTTTTTATATTCGTTAATGTTGGGCGGGAGCCATAGTGACAAAACTAGTCCAGAGTCCAAACCTTATATTTGTATTAAGAAATTTCAATAAATATATATAAAGATTAAATTCAGAACCCAGTTACTAACACATGTTGTTTCTATCCTAGAATTTAGAGCCCATAAAGTTCAAATTATGGCTTCGTCTCTACATGCACCAATTTATAGATTATGGAAAATTTGAGTCCAGAGGTTCATGCTATCTGAGCCTTTATTGTTTCGATAGCAATGTATGTGAGACCTCGCAGTAGTAAATAGTTTCTCAATCCAGTTGAATATTTATTCATTTGATTTAATGTCCGAACTTTATGCTCAACTTTTTCTTATGTTTTGAATAAAACGGGAACAATCTCTCTGCCCTTCCAGGGTAGGGGTAAGGCTGCGTACATCCTACTCTCCCCAAATTCCACTTGTAAGATTACACCGGGTAGTTGTTGTTGAATACAACGGGAGTATATTGATATTTGGATGAAAGCACATAAATATACACAACACATATTCTGCTGATCTTTTTATTTGATTGTGGAAAAATCTACTAAAATGGAGTACAAGTATGTGTTATATGTACGCATGTGCTTTAACTATTTAGAAAAAACAAACATAAAGGAAATCAGCTTCTTGTCCTGTGCAAGGCAAGGTAAAGATCATTACAGTGATTCTTACTAATGGCTAAATACTGACTTTCCTTAATGTTCTTTGTTAACTTTGAGTTCTGCTTATGAGTTTAACACATCTTTTCTTATAGGAAATGACGACGTTTGTTTGTGTTTGCATTCCGGAGTTCCTCTCTCTGTATGAGACTGAAAGACTTGTTCAAGAACTCACTAGGTTTGAGATTGATACACACAACATTATAATTAACCAAGTCCTCTTTGATGTAGAAGGTACACAAGCCCCCTCCTTTTAGTGATTCCTCAATTGTTTTCCCCTTTAATCTGTTTTCTTCTTCGATCTCACTTTTGTTTATGATAATTAGTTCCTGTGCAAGAGAAAACATAATTCTTGGACTTGTGACTGTTTTCAGTTGTTGAATCTCAGTTGCTGAAAGCTAGAATGCGGATGCAACAAAAATACTTGGATCAATTCTACACTTTATACGACGACTTCAATATCACGAAGCTGCCTTTGCTTCCGCAAGAGGTATGAAGATACTCATGTAGATATTACAACTTCAAAAGTACGAGTTTTGAAGTCATCAAGTTTAAATCTTAAATTCGTCTCTGATAACATACCTCTTTTTTTCTTTTTCTTTTTATTTTGGTGCATTCAAAGAGGATAGTAGTGTATTGGAAACAACATCTCTACCTTCTAGGTAGGGCTAAGGTCTGCGTACACACTACCCTTCCCAGACCCCACTTATGGGACTATACTGGGTTTTGTGTTGTTGTCGTTGTTGCATTCAAAGAGGATAGCGACCATAAAATCTTCTCTAATCAGTAAGATGGTGCTAGTGCACCATAGCATCCATGTTAGATCAGACATTTCTGGTTTATTCCTGAAACAAAAGTTGATGATATTTAGGTGATTCTATTCTGCCTTCTGCTTTTATGTAATTCCAAGCAAGAAACTATGGAGATTGGGCATTACATTTCTTGTCAAACCAGTTGTAACTCACATTACTAAGTTCTTTTGTTGATAGGTTTGTGGTGTTGAAGCTCTGAAAGCATTTAAGTATCATTTTCTTACACCGTACCGACCTTCTCGTGTGCGAGCTTCAGCAGAAGAGCTGGAGAGTGGGATAGCTAAACTGAAAGAACAGTTGAAAGATGCTGAAGCAGAATATGAAAGAATTAGGAAAGGGAACAATCAGGTTTAATCTAGAAAGACTTTTCAAATGTTAGGGGAATAGTGTCATTGAACAAATTATTCTGTTCTTTCAGAGGATCATGATATATAATTGTTTCATTTATAAAAGTTCATATGTGCTTTTCAGAAGATAATGAATCTAGCTTACGTGAATTGACTACCTTTATCCGAGCTTGAGACCGATATTGTGAGCAAACTCATACGACCAGAGTTGGGCATCCCAAATACACAATAAGAAAATTCTTTCTATGTAATCCAATGATATCTTACACACTATGCACAATCTCTACAGGAACTTGGCGTCCCCCGTGAGGCCGTGACGGAGGCAGGATTTTCATCAAGGGAATTCAAAAAAAAAAAAAAAAAACAC